GACTGCTGTTTTGTCCTATCCGGACTTGCCAGTAGTGGCGACCGTTGAATCCTGCCGCATTCGGACCCATGATCTTACCCATACGGACCGGTGAGTTATGCCACTGAGCCATGGGCAACGGCAGCGGTTCGCTATGACTGATATCTAACTGTGATATAGCGCGGTTCATTCCCACTGTCATGCGTGTTATAGAGGTGCGGGGTACAGAGCTGGCTCCCAGGTTTACAGGTTCTGCTGAATGACAGTGAAGGATGAGCGACACTATATCGCAGTCAGTTATCAATCATGGCGGTCCGCCGCCGTCACCCGTGGCTCAGTGGCAGAAGTCCCTGGCTCAAAAGGGTGATTTCATCGATTTGAATCCGGCAGGATTCGATGGATGCATGCTACTGACGTGTCCCGCCAAGATGAAACGGCCGTCCAGCGCTTCTTCGGATGTGTAGTGGCTGTCCGGCTGTGTCTAACGGAGCCGAATTTTCTTAAAAACAATATAGATTCTCCTACTACTTACCAATAACCGGTCATCGTCTTAGCACCTTGCGTACCATCTGGATGGGTGGCGGCTTGCAAGGGAATTGGTAGCTCGGGGTCGACCCTATCCTCTGCATCTTCAGAAAATACATAACAGTGGATGCTGAGTCGCGCTACGTCGTTGTTAGTTATCAATCACAGCGGTCCGTAGCCGTCATCCATGACTCAGTGGTAGAAGTCACTTGCTCAAAAGGATAATGGCATGCATCCGAATCCAGCAATTTTTATTATTTTATTATTTTATTATCGTATTATTCTATAGCTAGGCATGGATAGGTTTTATTCGTATGAAACATGTTTAGGTCATTAAACAAATGGTATAATAAGCTGGGTATGATACGTGATCCACTGTGCATTACACTATAGTAACGTCATTATTGGTTCTCGAAGATAGTACAAGTATATCTCACATCATGCCTCTCTGTGACAAGATGAGCCTCGGCACTAAAACGCACTAGCACTATTGTCAGATTTCCCTTTTCATTGTACAAGAAGAACTAGTTTCACCGGTTCGGGACGAAGTTAACCACTTTAAAGTCTAGTACACAGGTTTCATCCGTTTTAACACTAGCTCTGCTTCCAGCTATTGTGTCATAGCACAATCGAAACGCAAGGTTGAAAATCATTGAGCTTTCCTGTTCGAACTAGTTAAATACAATGATATTCTGGTAACTAGCTGCACTTCTTTACCAAATATTTAATCAACTTTAGCCAAAAATTGACTTCTAGTTAGTAAACTAATATGCGTACAGCAAACTTACTTGCATAATTAGGGTTTAGGTGGACACAAAATGTCGAATTATGGGACCGTATTCATAAGGTTTTAGTCAGGCACTTGCTAGGAGATTACTCCGAGGTAAATAAGTAATAGACTTGGGTAACGGCTGATAGCGAATTCTTCAATGGATTTCGTCTATGTTCGGACACTTTAGATTGAGGCTACTTAACTTTGGGCTCCAATTTTGGACGTACTTATTGTGAGGGTTCTCCCTTCTAGAAAATCGCCGAATTTCGCCCACAAACTATTTCCACTAGGCCTATTTATTTCTGTATATTAAGATGAATATCATACATTAGTTGCGCTTTTTAGACAAAATGTCTCCATCTGTCAAAGTTAACAACGCTTAAATCAACTGCAAAGAAATTAGGTTCGAACCAATAAGAACAGATATTAAACCCCATTTTTCAAATACAATCCAAGTAGCTAGGTAAATTTGGTTGCACTCATTTTTGGCCACATTTCGGTGCAGGCGTTTAAGGAGTAATTTGATGTGATTATTCAAAAAATCCCTGCTATGCTGATATGCTTCTTCAACGTTGTTAGTAAATGATTTGCATTGTAGTAGTGTAACACGAGCTGTCACAAGGCAACTGTGAAGGCAGAACAGGAAAGAGGCATCGTTTTTGAACCATGTGCTTTGAAACACGTTGGCATATTCCTAAGTGTGGGACGCTTGGAATGACCTGGGGCAGTCCCCTCGGCTTTGTTACAGACGGCAGATATGTTCAGCTGGGGTCACAACTACTTGGTAGTATTAGTGATATGTAGCTAAGGAGTGGACAGTTAAGGAACACCCCGATTCCAGTTGGTTCTCCGTCGAGCTCGGACTGGGGGTATGTTTAATGGTAATGCAGGTGAGTCATGTTGTAGCAATACATTCAGCTGACGTCTCATGTCAGCTGAATGGTCTAAAACGGCATCGTATCCATTTACAAAACGTACATACCAGGTAAGACAGCAAGGGCTTCTCATGTGATAAGTAACATCAAAGTTATGTTTACCATTAAAAAGAATACTTGTAGCTCGGACGTGGACGAGAGCGTTCGCCTGCTGTTCCAGCTGGGTATATTAATTACTGCTTGCGATTACTAATCAAATGGAGTTCGAATTGGGCGCTGACGATATTGCCTAGCCTGGGGATGATACACCTGCAACCAAAATATCCAGCTTAGAAAACAACCTGAAGCCCACAAACTTGTGTTGTTGTGGGACAACGTACACCTTTGAATGTACACCACCCGATTGTCTAGATCAAGGAAAGAAGAGAGCTCACCAAAATATTTGCTGACGATAACTTTCTCGAGACACGCAGATATCGCATGCCTACTCAATTAAATTGGAATAGAGAATAGCGTCACTTGTGTGCTATGACGTGAAGTGGACAAGTCAAATTCAACGAAGAAAACTGTTGGTTTAAAGCAACTCAGTTAGCTTCGTTGTCAAATTCAAGCAACTAAAATCGCAGCTACAGCAGCGCACTATTTGTTAGCGTTATTTTCTGTTAACATCAGTAAGAAAAAGAACCCACAATTAATCAATAGGATGATACAAACTCTTCCATTCTCTGTTCAACGCAATGACTGAGAAGGAAACAGTGGAAAGACCGTTCAATATTAAAGATGAAAGTAGCAGTAATTCGGATGGCTTTTAGTTCCTTTCATGCTAATTATCTTAACAAACACTCCTGTGAAATTCCGTTACCTTAAGAATGATACCAGTTGCTTGACACGAGCATCTGATTACAATGGATAAGTTTCAGTCAATGGAAGCTCATAGCTGTTCGAGATATTCAAAGGTGTCAATAGGGAACGTTGAAATAATACAATATTTTAAATCACAAAGAATTCATTTATAGTGAGGTAGTGATGGTGCTATGTAAACTCAGCACAACAATTATCTGCCTATTTATTCTAACTTCAGCTCCCTGAGTTAAGGTGCTTACCACCCGAACCTGCATGGCAATATTAACAACCATTTGTCTTAGCAAGTTCAGTGAACAGCGCCTGTCCCCGAGGTAGGACATCCACTCTAGATCACTGTAACACACACATACTGTGTTCGAGTTACGACGTACAACTTCAAATTGAGTCACTAGTCTTTTTTAAATAGAGCTTGGTTATTCAAAGTTGGAATTGGAGTATAGGTTGTGTGATTGGGTTGCGTCACGCAATTTCTATTCAGATCTCGATTCACTTTGAATCAGACCTGGGTCATTACGATCACAGTGACCATGACCAACACTGATACCCTATGACTGGTTTCGTCCTCGTTTGGACCCATCAGTTGCATACGATCTGAGCTGGCGTGGAACACAGGGCCTAGCGGTTAAAAGCGGACGTCTTGATCACTATGGCTCTAAGATCCGCGAGCAACGCTTGGCACAGAGCATTTTTATTCCTGCTACTGGAGGGTGGACAGTGCTGTTCACAATCTGCACCACATTCTGCTACCGGTTACGTCTGTTCCGGTGGAGAGAGCGTTGGTTGGGTGTCAGAGTTCCGGAATGATCGGAATGATTGCAGTTTAAGTTAGGACTAGTGGATGCCAGACTCATGATTGCATGTTGCAGTCCGGATGGATCATTTGTTGTAAACTACCGAGATAACACATTAAACCGTTCATTTCCTGCACTTTGCAAAATAGGAAAGCCTGTCCCACCTTAATTGGAATTGTGTACCTTTACATACTGGCAACCTTTACTAGACTGTCAAACTTGGTAAGGCATGATGGAACAGCCTATCCCCACTTCTTTTGCAAAATAGCTAAGGTAAACGGCAATCAAATTCATTCCAAACAAAACGTTTTTACATCTGCCGGTCACCCATCGATTAAAAAGCAGGAACATTTTGTCGCTGCGTGCTTTGCAACACAAACCATCACAACTAGTTTGGCACTGATTATAAACTTTGAGAACAAAATACCTGGCTGCAACTTCAAGAAACAAACCAGTGGCCACCAACTGATCATATTGACTACCCATTCTAATTGACTAAAGGAATACTACTCATTTTGTCTGTCAGGGAATGAATAAAGCATGGTGCATTTCACAGTACCCAAAATTGCTTGGATTACATCTATCCAAATAAAACTACTTCCTCTTTCTAATTCGCTACCACAACTGACAATCCACACCCTGAATAGTGTAGCAATGGAGTTTATGGCCGCAATGGAATATCACCCATCCAAAGTGTATTCTTCAAAGACCATCAAGTTAAGTTAAACCCCTCCATACTGCAGCCATCATGACTACTTCCTTTGGATGCCTGCGTGCAGCGGAAAAACTTACTGACTTACAGAACGTTAGGTGACTTGATGTAGACGATGTAAGAAATACCCCCATCAGAAACGTTAGCACTCCAAAGCAGTAGACGCTCAGTGGAGTGTGTATTGTTGTCCGCTTGTCGTGACTGACTACAACTGTTTGTGAAAAAGCGTCTCCTTGCGCATTAGGATTCCCTACCACTTTATATCATTACTTACACTTCCTAAACATTTATTCATCTTTGGAGGTACTTTAGCTTGAACATTGCGGAAGCTAATCGGTCGCAGTGTAATTTGATGTCACAAAAATTTGAACTTGAGACATGCTTTCCAGCCCGATGTAAGACGGTTCCATTCAGAGTGAAAAGCAAATGGCAAAAGCACAGGTTTGCATGCACAAAGCAGGACTAATATCCGGAAAACTCACTGTCGTTTATGCCGGAAAAAACTTGCAATCTGTAAAGCGATCACTCCAACAATAAGGCATATTATGCCGAACCACATGAACACACAAGTAAACTTTTTATTTAATAACCACCGGAAGTTGTTGTGTGGTAAATCCTGAGATCGGGCTCCAACGGAACCACGTGGAAGAAGCGAATGGATATTGTACACCCCGGGGTTATCTAGTGGTTCGGGTTGTTCACGAACCGGTGGTTCACGTTTGCCCAACCTGCATGGGTGAAAATAGGGCAGATCACCGTAATCTTGGATAATTGGCGGTGGGTGTGGAATTAATTCCGGTATATTTTCACGTATCCGATCGATTGTGGATAGCCATCGAGTTCTCCACTCGGAACGTTGTGCACACATGACGATGTCTAGTCTGCTCTGCTAGTCGCCGGCATCACGACAATCCATCGTGCAGTCCAGATGTGCCAACGTTATCCCTCTGAAGATTTGCACAGAAAGACCTTTCAAATGCCGCCTAAATCTTTTACTGAGGCTTCGCGATGCACGAAACAAATGCACTTGTTCACCGCGTAAAGGTGCAGACGTAGTTCTCCAAACTCCTCAGATATACATGAGAGAACAGGTGTTGGTGAAGGCGCCAAATGCAAACTGGGTGCAAACTGTTTTGCCGCCTTGTTATCCTCATGTAGCCTACCAGGTGTTTAAACGAGCGCGGAAAAGATCGTCACGTTTGATTGGCCACGCGCTTCACTTGCGCATGCAATAGCGGCACGCACCGAACCACCACCATTATCGCGCCATCCCAATGGACTCTATAAACGCCCGATTGGTTTGGGAATGAATTGATGCTGCTACAGAAGGCCGACTGTTTACATCAACCTGTGCGTTTGCATGTTTTGTAGTTAATTCATGGGGCCACAAAGTGACTCAGGTCTGTCTGGAATGGGTAAACAAAAGCTCAGACACAGAAACATTCCATTTTTTAAGCCCATGAACCGAATAGTGTCTCAGTCTCATCAATTTGAAATATAAGTATAGTCTAGTGTGATCGAAACAACGGGAAGAGAAATGCATCGTGGCCATATTTCACAGAGTACGTAAACAAATAGGAATATAAATGCCCTCCTCTACCCACTAACAGTGTTTGGATAAGCAGTTTATACGACACATTTCGTACAAGCCTGTGCAAGCTAGGAACAATTTCCCAATAAATTTGATAAACGGCTAAATGAAGGAATTCTATAGGCACTACGATATTATTATCCAGATGCACTCTTCTGAACAGTGTATATGCGTGCCAGGACAGTTCCATCGTAAGGACGCAATGCATTGCCACAGAAATGACACCTAAACTATCTTAACCAGCAAAAACCTTCATTGCATGTAAAGCAGTTATTTAAATACATAAAACAATAATTAATGCACTTTGCTGGTGCGTGCACTCGCTGTCTCATAGTTACAGTGAACAAATCGTTTTCCAGGTGCGCCGTGCCATTACCATAACGGGTGAACATAACCACGATAATTAATTCGAGGCAGAACCATTGCATTGTATGGTTATTTCGTGACACACAAACCGACTGCTGCATTTCCGCTGACCACCAAAGGAGGTCTATTACCCGGTGTACAGATCTTCAACTAACTTTATCGATCATTCAGTTAGATTAGTTAAATTTTCCTCCAAAGGGATTGATCCACCATGCATTACATCGGGATACCCAAAAGAGCTTTATACTATACCTCCATAATTTCATTTTCACAGAAGGAGTTAAAAGCAAATCTATACGCATGATGTCTTGCAAGTGCAATAAATGTGCACATATCTGTGAATGATTTACCTACACTGCTTACTTTTTGATGCTTACGTTTGATAGCAAATATTGCCTTCTTCAACTTGGACTCGGGCGATTGTCGTTTCTCACTGGGTATCCCGACCAGAATGCAAAATCTTTGAGAAGAATATTTGAAAAATTCGCACTTGTTTTGCATAAAGACTGTGCCACTATGAGTCAAACATACGTGACCCCGTCGCTTTTACTTATTTAACACAGAGTTCCGGCATGAAACACATGCGATCCAGTACATGCTATCTGTCGCAGATGTTTGCTTAATGACTCCTACACACTCTTACGTTTTCATTCAAATCCTAACTCTGTCATACGTTTGGACCTGTTCGCAATGCGCTTATTCATAGTTAATTCCATTTTTTAATTCTCCCTTTAAGTTGGCACCTATAAGGTTACTGGTTTTAAGCACATGGAGACAATTTAGTGTATCTGAAGTCAGTCCGATAGGGATTATGCAACTAGACAAGGCTTTTTGGCTAAAAAAAATACTTTTCAAACGATGGCCCACAAACTTCGAAGGAGCATCGGTGGTATCTAAATCAAACCATTACTTGCAATTAAACCTTCATCAAACATAAGCTTGTATCATGCGGTAGAAAGTGCTGGGTTTACTTGAGCGCTGATGAACACCTGTTTCTGTTCGTCACATATACTTGCCTTTGTGTCGGTTTAATCTCAAGTTATTCTTTTTAAGCCACCTAGGACTTGGGAGTGAAACGTGCTGGTATCTTACATTATAGCGAAGAACCACCGGGTATTAAACTCTTTGAAGAGGCTTGGAACCGAGCGAGTGGACATGAGTCCGGCGAGTCTTGGAAACAATCAGTTGGTATAGATGTTTGGTACCGCTTCGCTTTTGACGCAAGAGCTTCGTCAAAGCAGGTAAATTAGTGTGCGATTGGAGTGACAGTTAATAGCGAACTGGGGCGATAACCGAGTTACCCGAGACTTGAGCCAAGGTGTCATGGCAGTCACAGTTCGTGATGTCACCTCAGGTGGTTCAGTCACAGTGGGAATAGTCCAGGTGTTCATTTGTGCATCATGGCAATGACGGATAAGACCATACTGGTTGACAATGGGAGTCAATTTGTGCTTTCCCATCGATCCGCCCACCGACGCTCATCAGGCGGGCGGCTTAAGATCGATCCATTCTATGCACACAGCTGTGCGATTTGGTGATTACCAAATCCTAGGCAATCACCCGCTACAGAGTTGATCGTATACCCCTCCTAATGACCTCTACGTTATCCAAGTCGATCTGGTGGCCCGTGTCTAATGCATTCACAGCCACGGCCGAGTTTCTTACAATTGCCTGGTATTCAACCTCGTTTCTTGATAAAGTTGTAATGCACCTCCAGTGCTCTGAAGTTCGTGTGTGTTACTCTGGCTGATTGGCCTATGTATACACACGTACAGTCCTTACATGTAATTTTATAAACACAGTTGGCCTATCCTTGGGAAGAGCAAACTTTAGGTGTGCCCGCGCTGAACCTAGCGCTTGACCTCGCTGAAAAATCACCCTTATATTTTCTTTGCTTAATACCCTCCGAATTGCTTCCGACGGGACACCTTTGTACAGAATTCCTACTGCCTCTTTACACTTTGTTGTGGGTTTTAACTATCGGTTGAGTACTTTATGTAATTGGCGTTTGACTATCCGCCATGGATAACTACTTTCTAATAGTTTGCTTATTGCCACTTTCCGCGCAGCCTTTTTGCCCTCCTCCATCCCGCACAATGTTTGTGACCTGTACAACCGTGCTGAGGCTATCCCAGCCCAAACCTGTTTCGGATGACCAGAAGTGTAGTGGAGGATGCTGTCAGTATCTGTTGGCTTGCGATACCGTGTCGTCTTTAAATATCCAACATTCCTGTGAAAAATGCCATTGTACCGCTACAACATTCCAACTCAATAGTAAAGTGCATCCACTAATCAATGGAGTTTAAGTTAACAAGCAACTTGTGATACTCGTGTCCTTGGAATGTGCTGAGTCTGACACTGCAAGAGTGGAGAGTAGTCAAATCGCCAGTAAAGAAGAACGAGCAGGGTGAGTATGTGTGTTCAATCTGCGAGCAAGACGCAAACCCGCGCAACTTCAGTTACCTTGTACAGACTGCATTAGCGGATCCTCGTTCGGCCATGGACAGTGATTTCAAATCAGCACCAGTCTGTTGAGCGGTATCATTCCCGTGTGTTGTAGGGCATGTACCAAGGAGTCGAGAATGTAGGCCTACAGACTAGCGGCGGTCGGGGCACTGTTGACACGGTCTAGCTCATAGTAACACTTCTTCAGCGTAATCTTTAGTCTTCTGTGTTGAAGACTGTGGACAACGCAGATAGATCCCATTCTCTCTCAGCCGTTACTGCAGCTGCACCAAAGTATCTTACGAATGCCGTTCAGCGGTCTATTCAACGCGCTGCATGAGATCAGGAGTCAGCTTCTCCCTGTTGTTTCTTCCACATTTGCGCTCAGTAATGTTGCTCTTTTGACTCTAAGCATTGATGGTATGTATTCATCTCTTGCACTGCCCTCGTTGATATCCGTGAATTCAGCAGCTTCGCGGATGGTCCTGTTGTCAAAGAAAGCCAGCTTGGTGAGGATGTCGTTCTGTGCCCATCACGTTTGTTTGTAAGGTCGCCGCCTGGAAGCTGCCCTCTCTCCTCTTCCGTCGATCATCTTGGTCGTTTCATGCAGCACAAGGCGTTTGTCGAAGTAGTCGTGCAGCTGCTTAGGTTGGCCCATACACCCACAAAAAATAGGATTGGGCCACTACATGGACAGGGGAAAACAGTGGTCAAGCTTACACTCCTGATCAAGTGTGGGGCTCGCACAATCACCTGCTGCTTGCACGGTTCGCTTGCACTGTTGTGACCAAAATGTGCTCCGAACATCACCCAATCGCTTTTACATCTCTTGCCAAACTTTCATAACTTTCGGACAAAAATAACGTGTAAAAGTTATTTTGCGAAACGTCCAATTTGCTTTGCAATACGTCCGATTTGTTTGACAAAACTTCCAAGTTGTTTTGTAGAATCTCCCACGAGTTTTGCCGCGTGCCCAAAGTGGTTTGCAAAATGTCCAAAGTGGTTTGCAAACGTCCGATTTAAAGTAGATAGCATAAATAAACAATGACCACGGATTTTTAAGCTAAGGTTGCGTTTCTGGAAGGTGTCTGCAAGGTAAATGGTGCTCTCTCCCAGTTAGTTTGCAAATTATATAGCCCAGCCAACGTCTTCCATGGCCCAGTGGCTTAACCTGATGGCTAGTCAGCATTTGCTTCTAGCGGACATGGGTTCCATTCTCCTTAGAGGACCGAAGAAATGCGCACCACCAACGAGCCCCAATAGGGCGAAACGCGTCTGCTTCTTTTCTGGACTAGGATGAGCTATGTAGTTTGTGAAATCCTAGGAGAAAACCCCAACAAACTATCAAAATCCTGCTATTTATGGGTAAGAACATATCTACCAGAACTTGCCCGAGTGGGGACCCCATTGCGACCCCATCATTCTGCCGATAATATATGCCGTCGGAAAGAAACTGAAAGCTGTAGGTGCAACTCAGAAGTAATTCTTTCAGGCTTGGGAAGGGTATAGCTAAATGAATCCTGTTCTCATTGCATCGGACCCTTGGTAGGGCTCGAAACCGCAACTCGACTGTTGCCAGTCCATGGTTGAGACCACTGAGCTACGGGGGACGGCAACGACCATCGTGAATAAGTTACTAGATGTGATATAGCGCCGCTCACTATCCACTGACTTACACGTTACTGCCGTGCAGAGGACAGGGTAGCCCCCTCACCAAGCGACGAGCTTAACAAA